AATATGTAAATATAATAATTATATTAATTTATCTAACTAAAAATATTTACTAATCAATTCAATTTTTAAAAAATTATGTACATAATTAAGTATGTTTATATATATATATATATATATATATATAATAATAATAATAATAAAGTTACAAAAAAATTGATAGATAAGTTAAGGCTTTTAACTTGTTTAACCATGATAGGTCAACTTACCTCATCCCATTTTTTTGGAACGACTGGTCCATTTTGACACTTTAAGAGCTGTTAATAGGTTAAAACTTTGAAAATTCCAGTAGTTTAGTTTTGAATTAGCAAGGTGTACTCTTTTGTGGGGCATGCTTAGTATACGTCTTCTGAAAGATATTAAAAGTGAAAAATTACTTTAATCATTGAGATGCAATTATTCATCTAACTTAAATAATTGTTTAAGTGAAATTTGCTTGGTGTTATCTAAAGTGAGATTCTTGTATGACTAATATATATATATATATATATATATATATATATATATATATATTATATTATTATTATATATACTTAAATTTATTAAGTTCTAACAGAAAAAGTTTAGTCAGTTTTGTGCACTAGTAAAAAATTGGGTTTTACAGCGCACATTATGCCAATGGTCACTAGAAACCGCAGCATAATGGTGCGCGGTGGCAGGGTTTTGTAAATAAAAAGATAGGAATATCTCGGGTTCGAGTGGGAACCGCCGCATATACGCCAGTCAGCACCATCCCTTTGACGCCACGTCTGACAAAAAAAAAATTAAATAACACGTATATGGTCGCGAGTTCTCCTCCGGAAAACCGCGGCATATATACCCCTGCCAATTTATTGCAGGGGCGTACTGAAGTCAGAGAATTTAGAAGTTACAAGGGTATATGCCGCGGTTGCTCTGAGAAACCTCGGGCATTACCGTAGGTAACTTCTGAACTTCTTGTCAGTCAGAGAATTCAGAAGTTACAGGGGGATATGCCGCGGGTTTCTCAGAGCAACCGCAGCATATACCCCCTGTCATCTACTTGATATTCCCCCAAAAGGCGTTGGGGAGACAGTTGTAGTTCAGCACGTTACAGTTATAAGGCCGCGGTTCTCAGAGTAACCCGCGAACCTATTCTCTACCTGAAATAAATTTAAATGAAATTTGGAAATAGTTAGAGGAATAGTACGCGGTTGCCCCTTCAACCGCTGATATAGTTTTAAAAATAATTTCAAAAATCCATTAGGTTATTTTTTTAATGAGTATAGCCGCGATTCGTTGTGAAAACCCGCGGCATAAACCCTTAAAACTTGGAACAATATCGTCTTTGCGCGCAGACGCTGCGAGTTTTTCTTCTCCCTTTCTTTCCTCTTTCCTCTCGCGACCACCATCAGTTCCCTCGTTTTCTTCACCGTTTTTAAACTCAAAATTGTTCGGTTCATTCCCATTTTTGACGATAAGAAACAGTTTTAGCCGATCAATCGTTTGAAACGACTGTCATTCCTCTCCGCTGCCATTCCCCTTTGTTGGCATCCAAGCTTTTTCGCCGCCCCTGTTCCAGGTATTTATGCCCTTTTGCATTCTTAACATGAGTTCTTCATTTATTTTTTGTCTAATAACAACTTGCTATGTTTCGTAATGTGCAAATATCATAGTTTTGGTAATGTATGGTATAGTTTTTGCTAAATTTTGGGTAATGCATGAAATTGCTTATAGTTTTGGTAATGTATGGTATAGTTTTTTCTATAGTTTTGGTGAATGTGTGTTGTAGTCTTTGCATTATTTATAAACCTTACAATATTATTCACTAAGTTCAATGAATATAGTTAATGAAATGCAAGTTGGGATTTTTAGTGCTATCTTTTTTGAAGTAGTTTAGGAATATGATCGAAATGGATTAATTTACCACGGATTAGTGGCTGAGTACGGAGAGGTGTAGAGGAATTTGATAAAATTGGCCAAGATGAGGAAAGTGAGGGAAAGTGATGATGAAGTGAAGTTTAGGATGTCCTTGTGTGAACTGGTTTGATGGGAGAAAGTTGAACGCAACTCAAATTAGAGAAACATCTTATATGTGATGGTTCCTAAGAGCTATACAACATGGATATGGCACGGCGAAGAAATAGCTTTTCCCACTGACTCTCAACTGTAAATGTTCTTACTCGATTCTCCAACCATGGAAGAAGGATCGACCGATTATGAAGAACAAATTGGAGCGACATGATCCGCGATGTTGGAGCAGAAAAATTTTGCCAAAGCTCACGTGTATGAGACGATGTCGGACGATGCGAAAAAAACAACCTTTTGTATTCGGTTCAACTAAGTTCAAACGTTTGTCAGCGGTGTTAAGCTCATGAATTTGACAGGCGAAGCAAGCATGGACTACTAGAGTTTTACAGAACTGTTGACCTTGTTGATGGAAATGTTGTAGATGGAAATACACCTGCCCACTCTTAATTATGTATGAATTTTCAATTTATGTATGTATGTTTATTAATTAACATAAGTTTTCCTTTTAATAATTTCCTATGATTACTATTACATGTTTGTGTTAATTTAAATGATATTACCAATAGTCTTGAAATAAAATTTAATGTTGTTATTTATTTTGACAGATATAGATGGCCTGATCATCCACATTCTTCCAGGGATGAGGCCCCCCAACCAGAATCCATAGAGGACCCACTAGGATGAAACAACTATTGATCAGGAAAAATAGTGGTTATGAAAGACCCGGGTGAAGTGAATGTCACCCGGTATGTGGCAACTGCCCCATGCAGTATGACTTACCTCCGATCATACCTTGGAGTTGGTGGCAACGTGATAAGATTACATTCTCATTCCATCTTTTGTCATGTGTCCGGGTGATCGGAACAGTATTTGGAAGAGAATATGGTAAGTAGTAATAGCATTTGAATTAAAATTTTGTTTATATTGATAATTTGTACTATACCAACTTTTATTATGTTTTTTTCAGCTGACTTTGACATTCCAGATGGCACACACTTAGACATAGTGTTGTCAACTGTTGCAGAAATTTCAGACAACTTTAAAGCAAGTTGACATCAAAGATACATCTTGGACAAACCTTAAACATAAAAGTCCATGTAGTTCATATAAGTCCATTTATGAGGAGAGAGACTTGGCGGCGTTTTAACAGAGAGTCGGATGTCAGACGATAATGGCAGTTAGCAGTTAGTAGTTTCATATTATTTCAATTGCCTCATTAAAAAATATATATATAGATGAACTAATTAATGTTTGTATGTGACAGAGGCAATTAGAAAGCAAAAGCCAAGGACACGTGCTCACAACAAAACCCCACCTATTATCTCGTGGTGGGTTATAGGAAGCTTGAGGAGAAATCCTAGACCAAAAGGCCAGTGCTATACACATAATCTCAGGGTGGTAGCCCTCCTCAGGCCTCCTTCTCCACCGTCTAGACATAGAAATGGAAGTTGGCCCGTACGCACCATTCGGGCACCTACTCTTCCGACACTGCCGAGAGATTCTGAAAGAAATTGTAAGTTATCCTGTCCAAAATAATAAGTATTGTCATGTAATACTACATTAAACTATTTAAAGAATAATGGTGTTTTGTAATGTACAAGGACGCCTTGGTGAGCCAGAGCTCCCAAGCCAATTCATTCCAGAGGGTCGCCAGTAATTCTTGCTGCTGCGATTGGAAGACCCTGAGGAACCCTTGGACGTGTACGTGCTGCAGGTCCTGGAGTAGGAAATTAAAGATTATTTTGGGAGCTCTTCTCGTCAGCCTTCATATTCATACAGCGATACACAAAGATGACAGAAGAGATACAAAAAAGGTCCGAGAAGACCTTAGAGATGAGATCAGGGCCCAGGTGATGGCTGACATTCCACGTAATGTTCCAGCAGCATTTTCAGAGGCATGCACCCGTGCCGTCTCCTATAGGGAACATGTTATCCCCCATCCCTCCCTCCCCAGGTAACTTATAAACATTTATGTGCAATTATTTCTATCTTTGTGTATAATCATAACATTTCTCTACAGGGAGAAGCGGGAAAGGAAGTTTGTTCCGCATCAGCCAATCCCCAGAGGATACATGGACGATGGTATCCATGTTTGCTATACATTTTTAGAGGATACGTAGATGGTGTCTTGGTGCTCGTGGAACGAGTTTAGGTCATCGACGTATGTCATGACTATGACATTAGAGGATGAGGTGTGAAGGTCCTCAGTGGATTGAAATGCTCAACTGATGCCTCGTTCCTCTGTCCGGAACGATAGAGATTTTCACTGTGGAACAAGATATAAGTCGTTTACATTGGCCTAAATTTTTGGTTAAAACCAGTTTCTGACCCACTCGGTATGAAATTCTTCTTTAAAACTTCTCATTTAAAGGTTTTTTGATGTCAACAAAACTTTATATCGTTTCATGTAACAAGACGCAGGACAAGAGAAGATTCCCTCTATCTGAGGATGACCCCCTTTCTTCATTGCATCTACTTGCTGACATCCTTGATGATAAGCCTTTGGAGGTTGAGTATGATGTTAATGTATTTGGGACAGGCTCTGAGGTCCCAATAACCTTAATAGCCAGATGTCCGTGAGCTTACTTCGGAAACAAGTGTTAAATATTTCAATTATTCAACTATGAAGATGTAGTCTATACCAATTATTTATATAAAATTGATTTATATATCAAGTATCCTTATATCAAAGTTAATTTTTGATTTCAGGTATATGTCTGGGGTCAGTAACAAGTTGGGGCGTTCTGATGATTATGGATTCATTGATCCCCAATCAATTCATGAATCAAATGATTTTGAGCAGATCAACATAATGTGATAAGAAGTTTTGGAAGGGGCAAGAAAATATATTTTTGCCTTATAATATCCGGGTAGTGAACTTGTTAACATAATAATGTTCCATATGTTGATTTTAATATTTACTAGTTACGTTATTAGAATTTCAGGCGCCATTGCAACTTCTGTTATGTCTATGCAATGACAACTATGCTTTGTGGTTCTGTTCATTCCACAGGCCTCCTCCCACACAACTCCAGACAAGCAATTGATTGGTAAGAACCTCAATGTTTGGACTTTCTTCTTTGTTATATAAAGAAGGTAAACCTATTTTTTATATCCAGTTCTATTCCAGCAAGTATGATGATGGGTGGAAGATCAATTGTTAATAGTAGAAAGATTGCTTGGATTTCTCTCAAGGTTTGACATATGTAAAGCCATACTTGTTAAATTGTTTTATTTTCAATGTTATTCACTAACTATTATCAACGTGATGATATTTGTAGTGTAACAGACAAAATGGGTCATATGAGTGCGGATACTTGTAATGTATTGGATGGCCCATATTGTTCGTTCTCACATACAAGTCGCTGGGAAACGGTAATATTTAACTTTAACAAATTTTGATTTTTTCCCAAATGTTGAATTCATATACACTAATTAATATGAATTGTCTTTTGCAGAGATTCAAGACTACTACACCAGTTCCTGAGAAGTCACTATTATTCATTAGGAACGCTGCTGCGAAGTATATAATTAGATTATACAATAGCTCTTAGATTTAAACATTGCATTTGATTAGATTGAATTTTCTTAGACTTTGTACTTTATTTGATGTTGAAATACATTTGAACATGTGTTTGTTATGTTCAAATTGAATTTGTGTACATTTTTTTATATGCAGGTCTGTTTTTGTGGTAGTGGATATCACAAAAACAGACCTGCAATTTTAAAAAACTGCAGGGGAATATGTCGCGGTTGTAACCACAACCGCGGCATATAGTGTTTCGTTTTTTTTTAAAATGAGACATATGGCCGCGGTTAGTGCTAGAACCGCGGCATATACTGGAGTCTTTTGCCGCGGTTGAACCGTGGCATATCATGGACAAATTATTTTTTTTTAAAAAAAATGGATTTAGGCAGCGGTTCCTTGGACAACCGCGGCATATTCCGCAACCTATATACCGCGGTCATAACCGCGGCCTAAAGTCTCTGACTTACTACCGCGACTGAATATGCCGCGGTTCGTAAACCGCGACGTATATTGAAAAATAATCGCGGTAAAATCCCCTCGCTACACTAGTGGTGTTTTCAAATAATCTTGTTGAAGAGCTTGTAATCTTAGAAATTTTATGTTAGTCAATTTTAAGATTTATGGGAATGATTCAATCTCTAATAAATTAATTAATGTATTCATTTCTCTTTACATTTGGTAGTTGATTGAGAGAATGATGTGGTTGTAAGGTTTAAATCTTGAGAAAATATTCATTTATTATGTGTTTTCTCAATGTTTAAAACCTTAAACCAAGTAAGTATGTTATATTTGGGTAATGAGAGTTGTTTGTATTTATTCATTCACTCATTTATTTAGATGTATGAAAAATGTGGTGTTGGATTGTTATTGTGTATAGAAGTTGACATATGTATAACACTTGTGATTTCTTAAGTGAAATTAGTATGTATGGTAATCATAATATATTTGTTGATGATTTCCACTATAAATGATGGTTTAAATAAGATTGAAGTACTAGTACAGTAAAGGAAAACGACACTGGTTATTTTTGTCTGTACGCAAAAATTTAAGAACTAGGGCAAAAAGGGATAGCTTTTTTACCTCAGTTCTAAACTGAGACAGTATGTGGGGTCTTTTGTCTCGCTTGGTTTCGACTTGAGGCTATAGATGCCCTTTTTTATTTTTTTTAAAAAATGGGGTCTTTTGTATATTTAAAATCATTTTTTTCTATGTGCAATGGGACAACGGAGGGGGCAACGACGAACAAGCAAAGGCGACAATGAACAACCAGTGGTGATGACAAACGGCGTGGCGACAACGAAAAACGTAGTTCACGTGAGAGAAATAGAGGCAGCAACATTCGCGCCACTAAAATTAGCCAACGAATATGGAGAACACATTAAGCACTTCGCGCAAGAGAAATGGAGACCACGAACTAACAGCTTCGCTTGAGAGAGAGAATGGTTACGTGAGGAAGAAGAAGGAACAATAAGTTAAAAATTTTTACAATGGCGGCTAGTGGTGGAGGTCGTCGTGGCGGCGACCAGTGGTGGAGGTCGTCGTGGCGGCGACCAGTGGTGGAGGCAACGACGGCAGAGCTACAAGGAAAAGTTGTTCGCGTGAGATGGGAAGTAGTAGTTTGGGTTCGCGTTCTCTGGCAAAAGAAGAAGAAGAAAGAGTGAAAATGTGCTTACTGTTTTACGCTTTTCGAATTTAACTATCGAAAAGTCTATTACCTCGATTATAAACACAACCGATGTGTAAACGTTCGAGAGAAAAAATTCAACATAGAATTGTAAATGAAAATTTTGAAAATATCTATTAATTATAGGCCTGGTTCGCGGTTAAACCGAGGCATAAAGGGCTTATGACATATGTTAAAATGGAACCGAGGCAGTAAAGGTTGACGAAATGGATTTGAAACTTTCAGAATAAGAGGTTGTTAAGTTTCTAGTTGGACATACTCCCTCGGTTGGTAAAAGAATCAAGACAGTAGGCCTATTTCAAAAACGTTATCACGTGAAAAGTCTGATTTGCATTGGGTCAGCAGAGCTTTTTGCTTTGGTTGGTCAGGGAATCGAGGAAGTATACACCCTTAAGCATCGGTTCGCACTGAACCGAGGCGTATAGTGTCACCAAAACTACAAAATTGTTACCGTGCTTTTATACGCTTTGGATTTTTTGAAACCGAAACGTAATGTACGAGTTAAAAAACTGTTTATTTACTAGTGAAGTGTTTTATGGTGTTGATTTCATTGAAATTTTCTTTCTTTTGTTGAGATTTGGTGCTTTCAAACTTGATATCACTAACGTTGTGACTCACCGATCAAGCCACACCACAATGGTGTGTAATCACTGGTACAAATATGTGAATTACTACATAGGGAGACTACGATTGTGCAAAAGAAGCACTCTATATTGAAATGATGAGATTTTTTGAAATTATAGGTGAATAATATACTACATTTAAGTTAAAAATATACTTCATCTCACTATAAACTATAATAAGGGAATCGTAGACTATAGTGAGATATAGTACAATTTTAAGTGAATTGTAATCTATATTGCTCTGAATATACTACAATTTTAATTAATCGTAGTCTATACTATTTGGAATAATTTAAACTTAGTAATTTTTCCAAAAAAAAGTCATTATTGTTTCTCGATATTAATGAATGCAAAGTTTTCTTTTTCCACCACGAAAGACGTTTTTCCTCTCTTCACTCCTATTATCCTCATTCCTACTCATTTTCTTCTCCCTTAATTTGTTTTTCTTCTATCCTAAATCATAGACCATTGTTCGTATTTGGCTATTTGTGTCACAGTGACCATCCACATTAGTTGCGTTGCTATCCACACTAGTGTTACTAATATTATATTATGTTGAATATTCTGTGTATAATTTTCCTCACTTCGTTTGTTTTTAAAAGTAATTTAAGTTTCTTTTTTCTAAATAAGAACATAATAAATCATTGTCTAAAAATTTGAGAATAACAGATAAATAAAGTAAAAATCTTTAAAACAAATGTAGTATAAAGTAGTATAAAAATTGCATAATATAAGATTAAAAATAACAATTAAAACGTTAATAATAAAAATATAAACATGAACCTTATAATTTGTTCAAGTCTTTATTTATTTAAAAATATTTTAATAAAAATAAAAAATAAGCTAATTTCTTAAAGTAAACTATTGAAACTGTTTTAATTTTAATCATAATTTTGAATTTATTTAATTTGTTTTCTTTACACCCACTTACATAGTGACTGGGATTATTTAAACTTAATCAGTACTTTAATTGTAATAAATGACACCTTTCATCTATACCAGAATTTTCTTTAATTTATGGATTACGCGCGGAGGTGACCTGATACCGGTTAATCGTTTTAGAAAATAAATTATAAAGAAATTAAAACTTAAAATTTTTTAAAATATTTTAAATAAATAAAATAATAAAATTTGAAATTCAACTAAAAAAAGGAGAAAAATTAATATTTCACAGTTAGCCACTCTTTTTTTATACCTCTCTCTCTCTCTCTCTCTCTCTCTCTCTCTCT